AAAAAAAAAAAAAAAAAAAAAAAAGATCCAGCTGGGATTTTTAAATTACAGATCTGTAGATCTGTAATTTGGGGAGAACTGACATCTTAATTTATGAACATGGTATGTCACTCCATTTATTTAGGTCTTCACTGTTTTTTTTTTTCTCAGCGCCTTGTAGTTTCAACAGCATATATATCCCGCATATACTTTTTAGATTTATAGTTATTTTATTTTAGGGTACCATTATAAATGGTAGTTTTTTGTTTTGTTTTTTTGAGTTGGAGTCTCACTCTTGTCACCCAGTTTGGAGTGCAGTGGCATGCTCACAGCCACTGCAGCCTCGACCTACTGGGCTTAGGTAATCCTTCCACCTCAGCCTTCCAAGTAGCTGGAACTACAGACGCACGCCACCACACCCAGCTAGTTTATGTGATTTATTATAGAGACGAGGTCTAACCAAGTTGCCCAGGCTGGTCTTGAAACCCTGGGCTCAGGCAATCCTCTCACCTCAGCCTCCCAAAGTGCTGGGATTACAGGCTGAACCACCATGCCCAGCTGTAAATGGTAGTTTTTAACGTTTTGATTTCCTATTGCTTATTGCTATTATACAAAAATATAATTGATGTTGGTATGTACACTGCATCCTGTGTCCTTGATAAACTCAATTATTAGTCTTAGGAATGTTTTCATGGATCCCATGTGATTTTCTACAATCATGTTGTCTGTAAGTAGCAAGTTTCATTTGTTCTTCTCTAATGTGTCTGCCTTTTTAGTTTTTTCTTGCTTTATTGAACTGGCCAAGGCTTCCAGTAAAATGCTGAACAGAGTGGTTGGAGTAGACATTACTTTGTTCCCAATCTTGGGGAAAGTATTCAGTCCTTCACCTTAAGCATAATGTCAGCTGAGGGTCCTTCACCTTAAGCATAATGTCAACTGAGGGTTTTTTCTCCCTTAATTTTTTTTCGGTGGGGGTAAGAGGTGGGGGGTCTCACTATGCTGCCCAGACTGGTCTTGAACTCCTGGGCTCAAGTTATCCTCTTGCCTTGGCCTCCCAAAGCACTGGGATTACAGACATGAACCACAACTTCTGGCCTAGTCAAAGGTTTTTGTAGGTGTCCCTTACCATGCAAAAGAAGTACTCTCATATTTCTAATTGGTCAAGTTTTGCTTTTTCTGCATAATATGATTATGTGATTTTTCTTCTTTATTCTGTTAAAATGATGACTTACACTGATCTTCATATTTTCTTTTTTTGAGTCAGGGTCTCCCTCTGCCACCCAGACTGGATTTCCTGGACTCAGACAATTCTTCTGCCTCAACATCCCAAGTAGCTGAGACTAACAAGTGTGTACTACCATGCCTGGCTATTTTTATTTTTTGTGGAGATGAGGTTTTACTATATTGCCTAGGCAGCTTTTGACCTCAAGCAGTCTGTCCACCTCAGCTTCCCAAACACTGGGATTATAGGCGTGAGCCACCACACCCAGGCTGATCTTCATTTGTTGAAACAGCCTTGCATTCCTGGGATATAGTCCACTTATAGTGATGTGTTACCTTTTATATGTATTACTGGATTCATTTTGCTAATATTTTCTTGAGGACTTTTGCATCTGTGTTTATGAAGGATACCGGTCTGTGGTTTTCTAGACAAAGTACAAATACAACATCTATCTAGATAGACTATATTCTGGGCAATGAAACAAACTTGAACAAAAGTTGAAAATCTTTAACAATATAATTGAAGTCATACAAAGTATGTCCTCTGATTCTGTCAGAATTAAATCATAGTAACAGAGCAATATATTTTTAAATAGCCAGCTTGACAAAAAGGATGTCTCAAGGGAAATTTAAAAATTTAAAAATATTTTGAGCTGAATAAAAATTAAAGCATACCAAAATTCATGGGATGCAGCCAAAGCAGTGTTCAGAGGAAATTTTCTAGCATTAAAACTTACCTTAGAAAATAAAGCCGGCTCGGTGGCTCAGCCTGTAATCCCGCGCCTTTGGGAGGCTGAGGTGAGTGGATTGCCTGAGCCTGCAGGTTCGAGACCCGCCTGGCAGGTGAGACCTCATCTCTACAATAAATCAAAAAAATTAGCCGGGCGTGGTAGTGTGTGCCTGTAGTTCCAGTTACTTGGAAGGCTGAGGTGGAAGGATCGCCAGAGCCCAGCAAGTTGAGACTGCAGTGGCCGGGAGCGGCCACTGCACTCCAGTCTGGGCGACAGTGAGACTCCAACTCAAAAAAATAAATAAATAAATAAGAAAATAAAGTTTTCAAATCAATAATCTAAGTTTCTATCTTAAGAAATTAGAAAAATAAATATAAACCCAAAGTAGAAGGAAGGAAATTATAAAGTGCAGGCTTTACTAACCCTTTGCACTCAGAGACATCTCACGGATCACTAACCAACAACTTGACCACACTTTTACAAAATAGTGAAAAGTGAATTGCTTCATATTAAATAGTGTAGCATTGGAATCAATTATTTTATCGTAATGATATTTGGCTTATAATGGAATATTGGATATTAAGGAACTTATTTATGACCAAAAAAATCAAAATTTTATATATTTTTTCTAACGTGATAACATGTGAAACAGTCACCAATGTGCATTGCAGGTTCATTAATACATGTTGTAATAGTAATTTGTTTGTTGTCTTCCACCTGTTTTTCTATTTGAGCAGATAATGCGTCTCGTTTTCTTCCTCCCATCTTAATAACATGCAATTTATTGTGCAGTCTGTGCACACTGAGAAAGCACTTCACATATTATCTTTCTATATGCCAGCTGATTTTTTAAAACGTATATCTTAGTATATATTCCATCTCTTTATTTGCTTTTTTGTGCAATTTGAATGGAAAACTTCAAGGAAACATACATTTTTGAAAATTTTTGCACTGGCATAAGTTTGTCCTGTATAATCACCAGCAGTCTCTCTTTTTTGTGTGATTGGAGTCTTACTCCATCACCCAGGTTGGAGTGCAGTGGCATGCTTATGGCCACCCCAGTGTTGAACTGCTGGGCTCAGGCAATCCTTCTGCCTCAGCCTTCCAAGTAGCCGGAACTACAGGCATACGCTACCACACCCAGCTAATTTTTTGATTTATTGTAGAGATGAGGTCTTGCCAAGTTGCCCAGGCTGGTCTTGAACCTATGTGCAAGCCTCAGCCTCCCAAAGTGCTAGGATTACAGGCTTCAGCCACTGTGCCTGGCTACCAGCAGTCTCTTTAGTGTCCCAAGAGGGGACATCCGAGTGGTATGCTAGATTTATGATGTCCTCTCAGAGTACATGTCCAAGTGCAAAGGGTTAAAATGGAAAACAGAAATACACACACACACAAATAAAACCAAAACTTGGTTCTTTGAAAAGACATTTATATAGCTGCTAGTCAGACTGTCCAAGAAAAAAGGCAAAACAAAACACATTATGTCAGGAATGAAAGAAGGAATATTATTACAGGCTCTACAGATGCTAAAAGATAAAGGAATGCTACAAAAAAACCCTACATAAATAGCAACTCAAATAAAATGGACTATTTGAAAAACACAAACTAAAGACTAACAAAGAAATAGATAAACCAAACAGTCCGTTATCTTTTTAAGAAATTGAATTTCATAGTAAAAATCTTGCAATTAATGGTAATTGCACCTCTATAATCCTAGCACTTTGGAAGGTTAGGGCAAGAGGGATTGTCTGAACCCTGTGGTTCAAGACCAGCCTGGGCAAGTTGGTGAGACCTCGTCTCTACAATAAATAAAAAAATTAGCCAGGTGTGGTGGCATGCACCTGTAGTCCCAGCTAGTTAGAAGGCTGAGGTAGAAGGTTTGCCTGAGCCCACCATGTCGAGGCTGCAGCGGCCGTGACCATGCCACTGTACTCCAGTCTGGGCAAGAGTGAGACTCCGACTAAAAAAAAAAGGTTAATTGCAAGAATAGTGCCACTGCAGAGTTTTACCATTTAAGGAAGAAATAATACCTGTCCCTACTTTTAAGAAAGAAGTTTTCTAGATGTGCCACTTATTAATGGTATTTCTATTAAAATGTACATACACAGCCAGGGGCATTAACTAATGCCTATAATCCCAGTACTTTAGGAGGCTGAGGCAGGAGGATCGCTTGAGCTTAGGAGTTTGAGACAAGCCTGGGCAACATAGCGAGACCCTGTCCTTACAAAAAATAAAATGCATACTACAAAAGAAAAAAAAAAATGTTCTAGCTTTGCATAAACAGTAGTGTTTATTCAGAAAATGTCAACCCCAGAGCTCTCTGCAGCTCTTCTGAGATGGACTGGATACTCTGCTCAGAGCCTTCCCCACTCAGGACCTGACATTCGAAATGGCCACCAGCCAGATGGCACAAGGCAGCCCAGAATCAGACTTCTTTGACCCACATGCACCAAACCACCACCAGCACCTACTCTAACCCGGTAAGACGAAAAGGCAGTAGTTTGTGGCTGCCCATGACCTCCCCGAGGAAGGAGAGAGCCAAGATAAAAAACAAAGCAAAGAACCAAGGAGTTGCTTTCACCTCTGAGGGCAAGGCAGGCAGGGGTTGCCCCTTGGGACCCCCGAGGCCAGCCTTCCTGAGGCTTTGCCACCTGCCTGTCCCCTGCTATAGGAATTCAAGTCCAAAGAGCCAGCCTCTGGCAAAGGTGATGGGGGAAACTGAGGCAGCCCTGGGATCCTCCTCTCAGGTCAAATCACCCAGAGATGGTAGCAGCTCTGGTCAAGGGCCGGGGAAGCAGCTCAGTCCTGATGGCTGCTCAGGGAGTGCTGGGCCTACAAACGCACAGCTGAAGCTGAAGCCCTCCAGGACCAGACTGCAGGATCACGCATTCAAGAATGCGAATGCTGATGGCTCTGAGCCAGGAGGCTCTTTGGCTGCTGTCCTCTGTGATGATGTCTGGGTGGCCCGGGGGGCTGGGCAGGGCTCCTCCACAGCAACCCCAGCCTCCACCAGATGAAGGCAGGCCACTATCTCCATGCCGGCAAACAAGGATTCACGCTCAGGCCCCACCCCCTGCTCTCTGGAACCTGATAGCCGGGTCTTGGCCTCACTGGTGTCTCTAGGGGCTGGGTCAGGGCAGGCATCTGGGGGTGGGGTGGGTGCAGGGCTAGACTGCATCCCCAACTGGGGAGAAGGGCTCCTGGGCAGGATGGGGCTTGAGCTCAGAGGCTGGAGGAAGACCTGGCCCCCAGTGAGAGGCACAGCATCAGTCAGCAGGTCAGACGGGCCTGTGGGGGCAGCTGCAGGGCCAGGCTCAGCGGGGGTTCTCTGGACAGGGCACAGCTGACCACAGGAGGCTTCAAAGTGCCTCAGGATCTGCAAGAGGAAGAAAGGAGGAATCCGTGAGGGTTCCGGCACAACTCTGGGATCGTGGGGACGAGGGCCCTCCAGAGGGCAGGGCCAGCTCTGAGTGAGATGCGGGCCTTCCCACTGTCATCCACAGAGACCCACTGCCAGTCTGGTGCTGTTGGGATGTCGGGACACGGTACAAGTTGCATGTACATGGCACGTGTTGCACGGCAAGTCCTGCCCCTCCACTCGTTACCACAAAGACACACATCCTGTTGTGACCTGAGGCATTGTGTGAGGAGCTGAGGGGATGAGCGTGACCTAGCACATCTGGTCGTTTCTAGCTGCTGGACACAGGGGTTCTTCAAGCAGATTTGTTTTAGGAATGCGGCCATGAGGGACACACACAGCCACACACACACCCCAGGCTCAGTTTTCTGACCGAAGGCGATTAATGACAGATGAGGACAACTTGGGGATGGATGACAGAGGACCTGTATTTTCAGCAGCCACAGAGAAAACGGGAAGAAAGAAGCCAGGAATGCTAGTGGGTTGAGGAAGGGCGCCTGGGCTGGCAGCAGGAGAGGCTCTCAGTGAGGGATTCTAGCAGCTTCAGGCAATACAGAGCATGATGGGGAGTGAGTGCTCAGAGGGGTGGGACCGCTAGGAGCTCGGGATCTGGGAGTCTGAGCTGTGTAATGGGTAGAGAACTGCACATGCAGTCAAGGAAGGCTTCCTAGACGGAGGTGAGTGGGAGCCGAGTGGCAAGGGGGAAGGGGGCGTGAAGGCAGAGAAGCTTGGGGTTCCAGAACAGGAAGAAGCCAGTGTACCAGGAGGGGGTGCTGGGATGTGGTAGGAGGAAGTCAGGACATGAGGCGTGGGGGAGGCAGGCTCTGACTGCAGCTCCTCGGCTGGCACTGCCCATCGGGCAGCATGAGGACGGGACAGGGGCAGGAACTCAAGTCAGGCGTCAGGGACGGGGGAAGGGCTGAGCAAGGACCATGGACCATGGGAGGAAGGTGTGGGCCACCACACTCCCTGTGCTCCTCGGGTGCCACCCACCTTGGTGGCCTTGCTGGTCACAGGTCCAGGGCTGCCCGTGCTGAGCTCCTGCAGCCGTGGCCGGGTGAGCAGGAGGATGTGCTCCTGGGGAAGCAGGTCCGCGCAGCCGAGGGAAGCTATGGCACACAGTGCTCTCTGTGGCAACAGGACAGGATGTGGGCACGCGGTACAGGCTCCCCACGCACTGGGCAGCAGCTCCATCCAGGAGGCCTGTCTGGCCAGCTCCCTCCCTCCTCCTGCTCCTTACCTGTGACTTGAGAGGGAGGCAAGGGGGCTCTGGGCAGCCCACAGAGACCTGTCCTCACCCCTGGCTCCCAGGCAGACCCCAGGGAGGAGCGGTTGGTGCCGAGAAGGCAGCCTAGGGGCCTGCCACCCAGCTCGCTCACACTCACTCTTGTGCACACCCCACACATGCGCACATGCACGTACACAGACACAGGCCACACACATATACATGCAGGCACTCACCATCTGTGTGCACTCACTGGCTCCACCCAGCTGGCTGATCAGCAGCTCCAGCACAACCTCACAGTTGAGCAGTCCACACCTGCACAGAGGGGACACCTGGATGGCAGCCCATCACCCCCTCCCTCACCGGGGTGGGGGCAGGGCCAGGGCTCACTCTTTGATGAAGTGCTGTGCCTCCTCGCGGTTCAGGAAAGTGCGTGTCCCCTGTGTCACAGTCCTCACCAGGTTCAGCTCCTGCTGGCAGTCACTTGGGGCCATGGCCTCAGCTCTGGTGGAGGGCACTGCTGGGTCAGGGAGGAGTGGGACGATGCCCCTCCCCGCTGCACTGGTGTGAGATTTGGAGAGCAAAGAGCTGTACCAGAAGGCAACTCTGGGACCCTGGCTGGGTCCTGTCCCTGCTGTCACTTGACACCGGAGCCTGCTTAGTGGGGTGGGGGAGATCCACCTTCACTCCCAGATGCCCAGCTGCTCACCTCTCTGCCAGGTCACCTAGCTCCTGGCTGGTCCCCGAGTGGCTGTCGCTGCCGGACCGACTGCCCCAGTCGGAGGCCCTGCTCAGGTCACTGTTCTGAGAGGAATTCTGGGAGCTGGGGGTGCTGTCCAGCTCATCCCAGCCCCCTCCAGCCTGCCCAGGCTGGTGCCTCACAGCTGGAAGAAACAGGGATGGTGGATATGAGGCCCTCAGGGGGCCCCACACCCACCTCCCCACCCCCAGACCAGGCATCTCAGGGGCTGTGTCCGGAGCTGAGGACAGGCGGCCACCTTGGCTCCAGAGAATACCAGCGCCTAACGGGCATGCTCCTTTCTTCCTCTCCCCACCCTTTCAGGCAAATCACCATTTGCCTCCATGGTCCATACAGACCCTAGCTCCAGAGGGGATAGAAAGGGGACCCAGACTTCCAAGGAGAGGAGCCCTGCCTCCATACCTCGGGCACCTGGAATGGCCCTGGGGAGTAGGTTCCCAGAGGTGGGGTGACTGTGGCTGCCTGAAGGCGTGACAGCGGGCTGGTAGGTGTCACCCCGAGGCAGGGGCCTCTGGGTGGTAGGACTCTCAGGCCCGGGGCGCACGGCATTAGCCACCACCTCTGCAGCTTTCTGGATGGTGGAAAGGAAGGCTTCACCTGCAGAGCCTGCGTCCGAGGAAAGGGAGATGAGATGGCCACCCAGGGCTGCCCTGCCACCCACATTCCTTGGGATGGAGGTGCCCACACTTGCTTGGGGAAGTTGGGGAAGTTGGGATACAGCTAAAGGTAGAGAACAGAGGTCTCCTGGTGGGAACCTGGGCCTTCCGGAAGTTTCCCAGTATCTTCCACTTTAGCAATTTCCAAACCCAGTGGTCCTGGATGCCTCCAGCTTACAGCAGAGCTGTGCCCACAATCCCTGGGTCCCACTTCAGAACAAAGGGTGTCCTGACATGCTAGTCTAGACCTCAAACACGTCTTCAGCCTTTTGCTCAGGGGTGTTAGGCCCAGTGGGACACGGCCCAGCACCCAGGACCAGGGGATGGCTAGGCAGGCACTTGGTCTGAGCTGTGGGCCAGGGCGCTTGCCACCAACACACAGGCTCTCCTGGTGCTGACAGCACTGTCGTCTGCTCCCACTATTCCATTTATTACAGTGTGATCATTCTAAGTTACTTCTTTGGTGACTGCAACCACCCTTGGCCCCTCTAGGAGTGGGACTGACCCCTGCCACATGGCCCTAACTTCTCTCAGTTGTCTGCAGAGCGGACCTGTCCACATCTGCCCTGCCTGCTTCTTGGGCAGAGCAACAGTGGGGACACTCCTGAGAAGGGCTGAGGCCTTAGGGTGGGGGAGGTGGGGAGCAGCATGGGGTCCCACACAGGCTGTCTCCACTTACCTGTGCGGCCCTGCTCCCTGCTGTAGCCGAAACCCTGAAGGGTGCTGTGGGGCTTGGACTGCGCGCCCATGCCTGTGGGAGGACCCCGGCATCAGCAGCAATCAACCCCCCCCAGCCCTGCCCACAGGATGCTTGAAAGAGGGAATCGCAATGCTGGGGCTGGACACAATCCCTGGGCCCCTACCTGCTGGAGGCAGGGCGCGGGGTAGCTGCGAGGGTGGCAGTGGCAACAAAGAGTCAGAGAACAGGGTGCTCCCCAAGTCCTAGTGGAGGCAGAGGCAGAGGCCCTTAGTCTCCTGCACATTGGGGCCTGTTGTCCTTACCCTGCCCCCACATTCCACCCCCAAACACCTCTTCTGAGCCACCCAGTTAGATACAGGCTCTGGCCCAGAAGCCAGGAGTGGAGCCAGGGGCCCCAGGCAGGAGGACAGCAAGCAGCTCAGCTGAAATTCTGGTGGAGTCCAGCCCTCTACAGGCTGGAACACAGGCGACACTGTCCCTGAAGAGTGACCCTGGTCCTGGGCTCACCTGGGCAGCTGCCCGCACCTTTTGGTACAGGCTGTTCCCATGAAGAGGATCCGGGGGCCCTGCAAAAGCTGCAGGACAGACAAGCAAAGGAGGCGGGGGTGAGCCTAGCTGGGTGCCCACTGCAATCTCGGCTTGGTATGTCTGTTCTCCTACCCAGAGCAGCACGCTCCAACCACCATGTCCTTACCTCACGGCTTCCCCCCACCAAGGCCCCATAGAGGCCACACTCAAGCACAGACTGGCTCCACCTAACCCCCCCCCCCCCCGACCCATGGAGTGAGTCCATTCCCATGACTCCCCAGGGTCACTACTGTCTTGTACCTCAACCCATCTCCCCACCCAGAGACACCACAAACAGGGTCACGGCCAATTTAAGACCTTTCAAGCGGGCTCGGTGGCTCAGCCTGTAATCCCACGCCTTGGGAGGCCAAGGTGAGTGAACTGCCTGAGCCCGCGGGTTCTAGACCCGCCTGGGCAACTTGGTGAGACCTCATCTCTACAATAAATCAAAAAATTAGCCGCGTGTGGTAGCGCGCCTGTAGTTCCAGTTACTTGGAAGGCTGAGGCGGAAGGATGACCGGAGCCCAGCAGGTTAAGGCCGTGGTGGCCGGGAGCGGCCACTGCACTCCAGTCTGGGTGACGGAGTGAGACTCCAACTCAAAAAAAAAAGACCTTTCAGAGGCTCCCCAGAGACTGGACAATTAAACCCATGTGCTTTATCCCAACCTGAAGCCTGCATGGATCAGCCCCACCTGCCTCAATCAGCCCCACCTGCCTCACTCTCAGCCCATGCAAGGCTCCCTATTCTAAAGCTTCCCTTTTGGCAAATCAGGTCTGCTTACGTTCAGCCACCCCAGGCTCTTCCTGCCCCAGGGCCCACACACAGCCTGCGCCTCCTGCCTTGTCTCCTAGGGCTCAGCTGGGAGCTGCTGCTCCGATAACCCACAGCAGCCACGTGGCCTGGTGGGTGCCTCCCTCACAGGGCTGCCCTCACCCCACGCCATCTCCCCCCTGGTGGGCCGGCCCCACCATTGGGGGCCATGATCCCGGGCCTCCGGCTCCACCTAGGCCCCGGGCAGGCAGCCGCAAGCTGAGTCCGTGAAGGATGAATGGATGGCCAGATGCTCTCCTGTGGCTCCATCCCACGGATGCCCAGATGAGAGTGGCAGGGCCCCAACGCATGGCCTCTCCTCTGCATGTGTGGCATCCAGCACCTGCTGTCCTCACAGGGCCGGTCTTTCTGACGCCTCCCATAGCCCATGAAGCCTCCTGAGCACTACACCTGGGCAGTGCCCAGGGCACAGCGGCAGTCACTATCACCCCCAGCTGTCTTTCCACAGCAGAGATTCAGGTGCTGACAACAGCCAGAGGTCTGAAAAGAGCCTGTCTGTCCTGTTTGCAGGGTTGGCTGAGCCCCGTTCCTCTACCTGTACCCCCACCCCAAGACCACTGAGGCCATGACTCATGCCCGCTGGCAGCCACAGGAGCTGCCCAGGAGACTGTCCACCCTAATCTGCTGTGTGGTGAGTAAATGGCTGGGAAGCTCTGTACAATGTGAGGAGATTCCACATCCCCTGTCCCCCTTGGGGGCATCTAACACCCAAGCTGTGTCTGCACTCTGCAAGGCCAGGATGGCAGTTAAGGGTACTGGGCCACAGACCACCATGTGGCACCTGAAGAATGGTCCGTCCCCACCTCAAGTCAGGCCCCACTGTCTTCCAGGGGCAAGCAGTGACGTAAGAGTAACTCAGTCTCCCTCCCTGGAGTTTCCCTTTCAAGGACAGTAGGGGTGGGGGTGAGGTTCTGGCCTAAAGGTACAGAGGTGCACAGGTGAGGTCTCTGGCCAGGAATCCTCTCCACCTCTGGGGAAGATCTCATGTCATGTCCCCACAAGTCCTTTTAGCCAGAGACTTCTACAGCTGTCCCCCAGCCTGTGGGGAGCCAGGGAAAAGGGCTCCACCCAAGACCTGCCTGCTGCCTAGACAGAGAGGCCAGGGTCGCCTCCCATGCTTCCCAGTCCCGCCCTCTCATGGCCCTCACTGTCTTGGGCTCTGAGAGCAGCCCTGGGGAGGAGAACCCAGGTCTGGGAAGACATGTGACACGCACCAAACCTGCTATGTGTAGGCCCCGGGAGGAGGGGGAAAGTCCTGTGAGGCACACAGAAACACAAGCAATTACTCCCAGGCTACAAGTGCAGGGATGTGGGAGGCCCAGGGACACCATGGGAGGCACAGAGAACCTGGTGAAGAGGGGACACAGAGTGGGATGCTTGTGGGGGGCTCAGGGGGCCAGATGGGGAGGGAGTGGGCAGCAGGCGGAGGAGGGAAGGATGGCGTGGGTAAGCTGAGGACTGGCAGGGACCAAAAACAGGGGCCGCGGTGAGGCCAGAGGGGCCACATTTAGAACCATGCCCAGGTGAGGGGTCTGGCTGAAGTCTTCTTTTCTTTTCTTTTTTTTGGGGGGGGTTGGAGTCTCACTCAGTCACCCAGACTGGAGTGCAGTGGCCGCTCTCGGCCATCGCAGCCTCGACCTGCTGGGCTCCGGCGATCCTTCCGCCTCAGCCTTCCGAGTAGCCGGAATTACAGGCACACGCTACCATGCCCGGCTGATTTTTTAAATTTATTGTAGAGATGAGGTCTCGCCAAGTTGCCCAGGTGGGTCTCGAACCCACGGGCTCAGACATTCCACTCACCTCAGCCTCCCAAGACACGGGATTACAGGCTGAGCCACCGAGCCCGGCTTGAAGTCTTCTTTTCAAGCCCAGACAGATTTGACCCCCTCGTCTGGCACCACCCACAGCCTCCAGGCTCCCCTAGTGTGTGGTACCTGCGGCTTCCTGGATGCAGGAGGAGTTGCGCTTGAGGATCAGCAGGAAGGATGAGGAGCCGTGGCTGCACAGGTACAGCAGGATCTTCAGCACCTGGGGAGCTGGGCGGTCAGCAGGGCTGGGTGGGCAGACACAGGAAACCCAGGGGCGGGCCCCGGGGTTGCCCCGAGGACACAGGACCACCCGCCACCCTGGGCTGTGCATGCCTCCCCTCCAGCCTTACCACCCGGCCACTCAGGGACTCACCTTGAGCTTCACGTGGCCAGAGCTGCTGCACAGGCGGTTCAGCAGGTATTCCAGCAGGCACTGGCTGCTGCCCAACGACTCGTGGGAGATTTCTGGGACGCGCTCAGGTTAGGGAAGGAGTGAGTTGACAAAGGCCACACACCAGGCTGTGTTGGCCGAGGTGGGAAACTGGCCTTCCGATGGTCGTGGGCCTTCTTAACTCGTGCTCCCTGTAGGCACCTACCACAGGTCCTGGTGTTAGGAGTCAGAGCTTCTAGGGTCTCTTGGGCCCTGTGTCATCGGTCTGGGAGCTTCCAGATCCCATCTATACCAGGTTACTATGATAATGGAGCCATGGGTCCCCCTAGGAACAGCAGGGAACCCCCAGTAACCCCTGTGCCACACCAGGGTCCCTGCCACCCTCTCTTTCCCCCACACAGGGACGTTGAGAAAGGATACTAGCAATCTCTTCAAACAGGTAGCCCGGACATGGGACATCATCATCTGAAGTTCCCTTTAAGAGAATAGGGAGCTGAAAGAAAACAAGAGCCCTTGCTTGTGATGAGTCACCAATTTACACACAGGGAGCCAGCAGCCACCAAAGGTGGTGGAAATGGGCCCATCTCTCACTTCTGACATGGTCAGGGAGAGAAACAGGAATCATCCTACAGGCCACGGGGAGCCTGCAGGAGGGTCCCGTCTTGATGGTCAGGGATGAACAGCCCAGGAGGAGGCACATCTGTGGTGTTCTCCACACAGGGGCAGTTCTAGTTGGATCAAGACATGGCATAGCTTCAGCCTCCCTATGCTCACCCACATGTGAGACAATCTGAAGGTACCTTTCACCCACCTACTAGCTAGTAAAAACCAAAAACCCCAGATAGGCCTCTTTTTCGTGTAAGGAAGCTGTGCCTGGTTCCACCTTTCCAGAGCGCAGATAGAGCATCACGTGATCCTTGATCGGTTGACCCACTCCACAGCTCTACAAGGGTCATTAACTTGGGTTGTTTTATGTTCACTTGTCATATTTCACTTAGACATATGGTCTCTTGGACATATTTATGTTACATACTTACTAAACAGCACAGAGATATACTATTTACAGGGATGAAAACTGGAAACACTAACCCTTGCCTTATTCAGAGTCTTGAAAGAATAGAGGAATTTAAGGGTATTGAATTTGACAAGCAAGTGGACCACGCCAGGTGGTAGGCACAGGCCACTTCCAACCGCAGCAATCTAGTGCTATGACAACATATGAAAATGCAGACCTGAAGCATTGTGTGAGGCATGGACCCCTCATGCCCACTCCCACCATTTATCCACCCTCAGGGGAGCTGGAGGGGCCAGCGGGTGACTACTGAGAACTGCAGACCCCCTCACATAAGGACTCGATCCAAACCCTGTGCTGGGACCACCCAACCTCCTTAGGAGAATTTACTGTTTGCTCTGGCCATCATCTGGAGTCATCCCCTGACCTCTCTTAGAGCATTTAGTTAAAAAAAAAAAAAAAAGTTTCCAACTGTGCGTCTATCTCTGTCCCTTCCAGACGTCTGTGTTCTCCCGCAACCCGGGTGTCTCTCAGGGCCCGGGAGCCGACCTCTGAACGCCGCCATCAGCACGGCTGGCCCAGCTAAGCGAGGACGTCATCCTGACCTAGACACCTGCAGCGGCGGACGCAGCTGCCCCGCGTCCTTGCCGGCCACCCTGGGCTTTGGTCGCCCCTTCCCTCCAGT